CTTTTTATCCCCCTAGAAGATGAGTTCTTAGTTAAAGTACAGGAATATTTCCCAACTAAAAATGTTTTGCTGAATAATCCTAAACTACTTTAATTCTAAGACCAAAATCAAGAAGGCCCAGGAGGACGTTGGTTAGAGAGCTTCTTCTTTGCTTGGTGATTCTTCTATGGACATAAACTAAGTTAACTTAAATGGCTGGTCAGAAGCCATGAAATCTCATTTCACTGAAGTTGAAACTAAGTGGAATTAGTTTTCATCAAGAAAGTAGCACGAGAGAGAGAGAGAGAGAGATGTTTTCATGTTTTATTTCCAAGTGTCTTGTCCAGAAAGTAGCAAGCACTCAAGGTTTAAACACCCATTTTGCCTGATTCAGAATAATCAGAGATGAAAAGCTCTTCCCTGAATCAAACAAAGCAGGACTTGAACTTGGAGCTCCCATACCCCAGACTAGTCCTCTCACTGGTGGGGATTAAATACTCACATCTCTTGCCAAAGCACAACATTTGAACAGAATTCTGTTTATGCAAAAACATTCAAAAGGTTTTAGTTTTCATTCCAGTGTGGCATTGAAACCAAACTTTGAAACCTCAGAATTGCTGCAAAACGGAGTTGTTGTCCCCTGGTCAGCTCAAAGGGCCGCTTTGTGTCTCAGAGCTTGCAAAATAACTGGATCACAGGCCAGGTTCTCACCCATGTTTTGTGACAGTGTTTTGGAGGATTTTAAGGCAGTAGACACTGAGCTAGAAATATATCAGTATTGATATATTTAATGTGATTTCTGCCAATATGGAATACTATGTGGCTTTTACTAGTAAGAGAATAGGCAGCAACTTGAGAAACAGCACAAGTATTGGGCAGCATTCAAACAGTCCTGTCAGTACTAGCTGTGCGTGAGTGCTGCCCTGTGCCTTAAAGCATGGGTGCCAGTTTTATTTTTGTTTTGTATCACCAAACTTGTTTCCAGAGTTCAGTGATACCAAAGTTCAATCCAAGGCACAAAATCCAACCTAAAGACTTGGCAGGCAGGTGGATGATGTGCTTTGAGGCTTCCTAGGGCTGTAAAGGGCTTCCATTTTCCTCAGCACCTGAGCATTATTCCCTAAAGGCTTAGGTAGTGCTAAGGGTAGTGCAGATGGCTTCTGTTTAGTTTAAACTACATACAGGAAGCTTTCTTTTAGCTAGACTTTTCTATTGTTATGCTATTTTAATAGGCTCTTTTGAAGTTTGAGGAGGACTGACCTGTCTGAATAATAGTTCTGGGTGGGGAAAGTTATTTAGGAACATGTTTTCAAAGCTTGTTTTATTTAACCATTCCCTTGCCTGCCCGTTCAGCCCTGTTTTGCTCCTAAGGGTATGAATAGCCAGAGGAGGCTGCACTGGCATATACAAAACTGAGTTTTGATTAATAGGCATTTATCAGTAAGCAAATGAATATTTTTATTCTTGGATTCCCACTGCCAAGCCAGGGAATGTTGGCTAGTCACTGTGCAAACATACAGAGACACTCTCAGTTTTGATCCTGCTCTGACTTTGTATGCTGCTTCATCTGAGAAGTCAGCTCTGCTGGAAACCCTGATACTGTTTTGGGCAAATCAGTGGTCACCTGGCTTTGTATGCTGCTTCATCCGAGAAGTCAGCTCTGCTGGAAACCCAGCAGATACTGTTTTGGGCAAATCAGTGGTCAAAATCGTAAGCAATTGAAAAGTGTTTGCCTGGAGCAGCTGTCAGGGCCCCCAGTTCTGTGCTGCTGCTGTCCCCCGAATCCTGCCAGCAGCAGCTCCGTCCCTTCCTTCCAAGCTCGAGGCTCAGCACCGGAAATCCTGACTCACAGATTTTGCTCATTCCCGCCCTCCCTAACCTTCGGCTGGGACAGAACTGAGGAGGAGCAGGCGTTTCATCCCTGCTGTGCAGGATGTGCAGCCCTACGTGCCTGGCCTTTTCCTCCCTGCCTCCTGCCAAGGCCTCTGCCCAAGCAGACGTGTTGCTTTGCAGCAGGGCCGCAGGACAGAATGGGGATGCAGCTGCATGCTCAGCCTCTGCTTTGATTACATTTCTTTATTTCACTCTTCTCCAAGTGACATTTGCAACATCAAATTTCTCCCTCCTTCCCTTCAGAAATCCCCCTGTACCACAGGCAGAGCTTTCTCTTATGCAGAAAGAGAAAGAGCCGAAGAGTCTGCGAAATGTGCTGGAGACTTCTCACTTCTGGGTCAAAGTAATACAGGCCACAGTGGGACTCAAGAGAAATGGCCAGAGACGCTCAGGCGGGCAGGGTAACCGTCATAGTCAGGAAGTGGAGGCTCTGGGCCAGTTTCTTCTTCGCTAGATCTGCATGTTCACCCAGCTGTCTGCAGTGATGAAGAGAAATCTGAAAGACAACTAATAAATGTGGGACTTTTTTTCTCCCTCATTTAGAAAGACGTCTCTACATTTCAAATATCTGGACTACGTATTGCAGCTCTATGGCAAAAAAAAAAAGAAAAATAAAAAAAAAGGAAATAGGCACTGAGTTCCCTAAAACAGCACGCTAATCTCTGCTAGCAGTCATACCACATGATGTTGGTGGCGTATCCTTCAGCTCCAGCAGCAGAGTTCAAACTAAGCGTCCTCAGCTGTGGTGAGGAGGAAAAAAGGAAAAAAAAAAAAGCACCAGGGCTCAAACTTTTTCATCAAAACTGCCTCATCTGATGACTGTCACAGATCACAGCTGCATTCGCAAAGCTGTAGCCTGCTGGCAGCCACAGCTCCAAAACAGAGCCAGTCTAGTGAAATGATCAGTCATCCACACCAGGGGGGTTCCCTACATCTTAACAAAGCAGATTTTCTGAGAGCAAAGAAGGCATATGGGGATAAGTACTATAAAACCTCTGTTTACTGGCAGTGGCATGGGACTTTCTATCCATACTCCTCTAGCAAAAGCGGTAAGAAATCTGGGGAGTTGCTCCTTTTCTTCAACAGACCGAGAAGCAGAAGGAACAGAGCTAATCTCTGAGGTACCCTTTTATATAGGCATGTTAGTAATATTTGGCAAATTATTTGAGAAAAAAAAATAGGTGGTTTGCATAGATGTGGGAGAAGGCTTGTTCTGGTTTTGAGCTTAAAAGGTTCATTTGCATAAGTAAAAAGAAAATGCACCTCTTTGTAAGTGAAGCAGGGGTGCCACTGATGCCACTAAACTGAACTAGCTGGCAGTGTCAGTGCTGGAAAGACACTTTCACTTCCTTGAAACCCTGTCAGAGAGGCTAGGACAGAATCACTTGCTGTACCTCTGGCTGATGAACCTTTCAAATGGAGGAAGCAAATCCTGATTCAGGATTCGTGCCCTGTGAAGAATGTGGTCTTCAGATGTCCTGTAAGCTACCTTCGAATGGCCAACGGTCCCTGCTGCTTGTGAAATAACTGGGTTCCCAGCATAGAAAAGGGTTATGGGTGAAACTGGAGGGTCAGAAACACTGCTCATTCTAATTGTAAAGGGTTTTTTTTGCCCATCCCTTTCAGCAGGGTTCACCTTCATTTTGAGAAGATTTTGTCCTGCACAGTTCATGGGAAACAGAGGTTTTTGCCTGATGTAGTTAGTGGCAACTTTCCCTCAGAGCATTATACTTTTCTTTTTCATGTTGACTTATTTGGCCTCGTATGAGGAACTTGAGTGAGGGACATGGCCATAATGATCCCTCAGAGTATTGTGTTGCCAGCAGGAGCCACTTGCTTAACTTTGGTTACCACTTCAGTTGTTTTAGACCTTTCAGATTCCAGGACATGTTCCAATACATCCTCTCCCTCCCCACAGGAAGATAGTATAGTACATTTGCACGACTCTTCAAAGGAAGAAACGGGCTAGGAGACTACCTTTCCATGGGTCCAATCAGATCAGGTTCAGAAATTCAGTAAAGCACAGTAAACTTCACTCCTCCCTCACTAATTTATTTTCAGAAGTAAGCTGTTTTCTTGTAAGTTTTCTTGAGAGATTTTTTTTTTCTTTTTTCACACAAAACTCAGTTTTGTGAGTTGCTCTCCTCTTAGAAGTACCCCAAGGGAGCTGGAAGGGTCACTTCTAGAGGTGAGAGGGCAGCACACACTCTTGTGCCTCGTGGTTGGTCTGGTCCCTTAGAATATGTTACAGACTGAACTAGCTAAGGAGTTTGCACTGAAGCACCGTGTGCTGCCATGTGCCATGGCTCCACGGCAGGCAACGTGCAACCAGCAAATGATGCACAGGATTCTTTCAGTTCCGTAAATCTGTGCAGAAAATACATGCTGTGACAATTTTCAGATGCGCCGTAAAGCCTGACTTCGCCTGCAGGATTCAAACACCTGTATCCATACAAGCATTTGAATTTATTCTAGCAACACTCTTTTCGCATACATCTAAGGATGAGAATGCTTTTCAGATGTGTGTGCAGGCATATATTATGTGTCTGAATATTAGCATGAAGTAGTTACATATATACAAACTCACTGAAGATGTCATTCGGTGGATCCTACCAATCTATGCTGGATCTGCAGCGGTAACTGGACAAGTGGGAATTCACATGCTACATCGTCTATTTATTTATCAATTCATTTCCTCTTTAAAAAATTAATGTTTTCATGTGATTGCTGATTAGAGAAGCATATTTGTCAAGAGTAAATTGCCGAAGTAAGTGCTGAAGACCTTGACTATCAGCTTCAGGAAAGTGAAAGTTTCATCCATAATGTATGAGCCCTAGAGAAGAACAAAGCTATTAAATTTCATTAGTTTCTTACTCATTCTATTCTGGCTCTTTATAAAATAAGCAGACAGCGAAGTGCTGATAAGCAGAGGCCTATTTACAAAACAACATGTAGAGGTAAGAAACTAGTCATCATTTTTGCTAGTTTCTGTTAGTGGAGGAAATCATGAATTGTGTTTTGGATAAAAATCAGTTTATAAAGTACTGGCAGCCTCCTATATGCATAAAGCTAAGAAATCATTTAATGGATGAACTTTAACCATGCCTTTTTTCCCTTTTCCTTTACAGAGAGCCCCCATAAGCCAGAAGAGAAAGATGAAATTTCCAAAGTCACAATCATAAGTCTTGTCCCATTGCTGGTGATTTCTGTTGCTGTGATTGTTATATTTTATGCCTACCGCACTCATAAGAAGAGGAAGCTCAACAAGGCATGGGAGAAGAATGTGAAGCCCAGGAAGCATAAGGACTGCAGTGATGTTTGTGCCATTATGTTAGATGATGACCGCTCAGACATCAGCTCCACTTGTGCCAACAACATCAACCACAACACAGAACTGCTGCCCATTGAGTTGGACGTTGTTGTTGGCAAAGGCAGGTTTGCTGAAGTGTATAAAGCCAAACTGAAGCAAAACACATCTGAGCAGTATGAAACCGTGGCAGTCAAGATTTTCCCCTATGAAGAATATGCCTCCTGGAAAACAGAGAAAGACATTTTTTCAGATGTAAACCTCAAACATGAGAACATCCTCCAATTCCTGACAGCAGAGGAGCGCAAGACAGATCTCGGTAAACAGTATTGGTTGATCACTGCCTTCCATGCAAGAGGAAACTTGCAGGAATACCTCACACGGCACATCATCAGCTGGGAGGACCTCTGGAAACTGGGGGGCTCTTTGGCTCGAGGGATTGCCCATCTGCATAGTGATCACACACCCTGTGGTCGTCCCAAAACACCTATCGTGCACAGAGACCTGAAGAGCTCCAACATCCTGGTGAAAAATGATTTAACCTGCTGTCTCTGTGACTTTGGGTTATCCCTGAGGCTGGATCCTTCTCTGTCTGTGGATGACTTGGCCAACAGTGGACAGGTAAGTTAAAAGTTTGGTGAGGTGTGTGCGTTATACCAGTCGGTGTGTGAGCTGTTGGGGAAAAGAGAGAAAAATAACCCCCATTCTGCATTTTCTACTGAAAAATGTAGAAATAAATATGGCTGCTTATAACAATACAAACTCTGAACTTAACAGTAGAACAACTGTGACAGATGTGCTTCACATCCTGACAGGTTCCAAGCCTGACTGCACTACTGCTCTATGTGAGCAGACCACTTCTGGTGTACCCCAGCACGTACAAAACCAGTCCTCCATCCCCAAGAGGAGTGAGCGGATAAATGGAGAGATAGATCACTGCTTTAAAGGCCACTAATAAGCCTGTTTAAGATTATGATGCTTTATCCATATGCAAACGCATGCAAGAATATAAGATAATAATTACCCTGTTTCTTTCACAACTAAGTAGCATGGATAATACTCACCTATTTCACAGGGATGCCAGGAGGATGTTTATGAATGATTTGAAAATGTTATCTGTCAAATGCATCTCTAAATGTTGGCTCTTTTGATAAAAACTCCTGTGCTATAAATTCAGACCCTGTATTAAGTGAAGAAATCCCTAATTAATTACCATGTATAATTATACATGGGTTCACATAAGCAAATAAATAAAATATTTTCCCTATTTTTTTCTGCACAACCTTAGGCTGTAATATTCAAGGCAGATTATTTGGAGCACAAAACCATTTTTTCCCACTTACCCAACTCCCTACCATATGATATAAATGCAGCCTTTATTGGATGTAGAATATCAGTGCCCTTAGTGACTGCCTGGGAACATCTTTTTCCCCATTAGAGTCTTTGTGGTCTGCCCATCCATGATGGGTGATATCATCAACATCATTTAATGTGGCTGCATAAATCTGGACCTTTGTCCCATTGTGTTCAAAGTAGGACTAGTAGGTACCACAAGGCCATCAGTTCCTCATCTTAACAGGGTTGATGACCTTATGCTTTCACTCAAATAATGAGGGGTATCCACTGCTGATTTGACTGACACACCTCAGGGCATAAAACACCCCATAACAGCATGTAAGAAATATGAGGGCTCTGGTAAAAAGATCCCAAAGTTCCCAAAATATTAATATACTACAAGGAAAGGAGCCAATCCCTCACTAAAACTTCTGAAATGCAGACAGATGCTTGCAAAAAGAAAGTATATCTAGATTCTAGAGTGGCAATCAATTGCTGGAGTTCAGGTACTTCAAAAGGCCTTGAGAGGTCTTTGAGAGTCAGTATTTGAGTTTCTAAAGATGCAGGAGAAGTATATTCTAAATATAATCTAAATAATCTAATAATCTAAATGCAGATAAAAGGACAGAGACAGATAAGAACAGATGATAAATCCTAAGCAGGAAGGAAATATGATTGGCTTAATATCATTCTTGAAGTCATTTTATTTTGTTTCTGCATTTTCAATTGCACTTTTCAATTAGATGGCTTCATCATCCATTGTACTCTTTGGGTATTTTTGACTAGGGAATCCTCTGCTGTTACTGTACCTGTGACAGAAGCAATGTCCTGATCTCTCTTGCTGTCTTCTTATGGTGCATCACACTTTTTGTGGCAGTTTTTCCCGTTTTCCCTGAGCCCAGGGTGATAAAGCCTGTTTGCAGAAGCATATAAAGTGGATGTCATAGGGTGCTCCCAAGACCCCACATTTATTATGTGGCTGTGCCATGTGCTCTAGGTGCATGTGCAGGGGGGTTGAACTAGATGACTTCTAGAGGTCCCTTCTAACCTTAAGCATTCTATGATTCTATGATTGCAGACCCTTTTACTGAGGTGATCTTTACCAGTGCTGTTTGCTGTTGGGCTCCATAGTGATGACTGTAGTGCAGCCTCATTTGAATCACAGGTCCTCCTGCATCAGCCAAGTGCGCTTGTCCGTGTTCGTTGTTAACCAGTCCCCCATTTGAATCTACTTTTTGCTGATCAAAGCTCCATTGTGTTCAGGTTTTCCAAGGGGAGTAGATTTCTGCATGCTACCCTGTGAAGGATTTGTCATTTGAGACCAGCTGTTGAGTGGCCCAAGAATTACTCCTTGAATACTTCTTTTTTTGTGGTAAAAGCAGATATTTTTAACTTAGCCTTCTGTAATGCAAGATGATAATCTAGAGCACAACAAAGCTGCTAAAATCATTGCTGAAAATCACTCAACATGTATAAACTTGGAGAGAAGCATTTTTCAAACAATGGGTCAAATGTGTGCTGCTGCATTCAGTATTTGTGTATTTGTTTTCTTCTGCCAGGCCCTCATTTTACCATTTTATTTTTAAGACATACCACGAAAAGAAACAGCTAACCCTATAATATGAAGTGCAAAAAAAGTACAATGTGTTTCATGCTCATCTGAAAGACGCTCAGTACACGACAGTTGCCAAAGGGCAGAGTTTATCTCTGTGAACAGCCAAAGCATGAGAAAACTCGTCAGTAGCAAAGTCATTTGTTCATTTGTTTAGGAAGCTACCAAGGGCTTCCTTTTTTTTTTTTTTTTTTTCTTTCTCTCTCTCTCTAGCATTTTGCTTTTACCAAGGGAGATGCAAGTAAATTGGCAGTCAAGACAAGGAAAAGATTCCCCTTGCAGCAGAATATATGGCCTGTGCCAAGGATAGCTGCTTTGTCGGGTACACATCAAATGGCAATGTTTCTATGAAAGCCAAAGTCATGAACATGAATTACAGCTTCAGTTCGTGAACACTCCTTTGCCTGTCTTCCTGCAGGTCGGCACAGCGAGGTACATGGCCCCTGAGGTTTTGGAGTCCAGGATGAACCTTGAGAATGTGGAGTCCTTCAAGCAAACGGATGTGTACTCCATGGCTTTGGTCCTCTGGGAAATGACATCTCGCTGTAATGGTGTGGGAGGTAAGTGCCATCAGTTTTCTTATCCCTAAAGGTGTGTTTGGACAGATGTGCTCTTGCAGTTCCAGTCATTCCAATGCACTTGGATGCTTCATCTTAACAGGCCTTTGGCGCTATGAGAGACACATGTTCCTGAGCAGGCTTGAAGGGTGAACATCTGAGTGAAAAAATCAGTCCTTGATTGGTGTAAGGATAAATTTGCTGTGAGATAAACCACTTTGAGAGATTGTTAATGGCTTTTTTTCTTTTAACTTACAACATCTTGAGAAGCCACAGATTGTCTAAGTCTAGCTATCCTGATCCAAAATGGTTAGAAATGTAAGACAGCCTGAAATAATAAGACCAAGAAGTGCTAACTGCTCTCCATTTACCTTCATTAAATGTTAATTCTGAAATGGAATGAGGGTGATGCAAGTGTCACTTTTATTAATTGATGATTTCAGTAAGAATTGTCATAGCAATCCAAAAATGTTCCTGCTTTCCCAAGAAACACAGCTGCAGCCCATCATTCTCTATGATGTTGCAAGAAATCATCCACATGAAACACCAAGGGTTGTTTTATAGAGTGCAGTTAAAAAAATTTTTGAAACTCGCTATCAGAATTGCATCAGGAAGAGCTGCTACGCTTGTTCATACTCAGAGTTTGTTCATGGAAGCAAAGTTTCCATGCTTTGCATAACACTGACGCAGAATTCCCAGTGTGCCACATTGATATGTGCTAGAAGTTGCTGTTGAAATACCTGTGTTATATATCACAGAACTTGAAGGCTTTCAGCTTAATTTAGGGACTAAAATGAGACTGAGCTACACACAAAATTCTTCATTCTCATAGTAGTGTCTAACATGCATTGGTGCTCGCAGCTAACAAAAACTTCTGTGCAATCTGAGGCTTCCATAGGCAGACGAAGGAATGAGGATGTTGCAGGTAACACTGACAGATGTTGTGGTAGATGTGAAACTATGGTCCAGTTTGCTATCCTTAAGCCATAGAGGCTAGCTTTTCCATGGACTTGAGCCAGTTGCATCAGAGGGCTGCCACAGAGATAGGACAATCCTGCAGAGTAGAGGACTACATTTTGGGGAACACAGTGCGCAGGAGGGGACCAGGGTCCATGGGAAGACATGCTGTTGCTAACTGCAGCCTGTTTCTCTGCGGTAATCCATGGGATACCATGAGCATGTCCGTGGAGGGCTCTGGAGTGGCTCTGCAGGATGTCTGTGTGGCTGCAATGGGATGGCTGTGTCCAGGAGGGAGGAATGCCTCCGCCTCAGGCTTCTTCTGGGTCTGAGCAGCATTTGGTCTTGCTGGGTGGGCTAGTCTGTGGGTGACAGATTTTCCCCTAGCTGCACCCTGCCTGGAAAGCTACAGAGCAACTGTGTGTGCACCCAGCTAGTGCTAGCATACAAGCACGAAAAGGAATCATTCTTTAGTCAAGCAGGGGGGGGGGGGGAAAGATGCTTCCAGAATTGAACCTCAGTTTGGCATCTTCCAAGGCAAACCTATCCACATTTAACCCTTGTGGGCCTGGATGCTTTTAAATATATTGGCACAGGCTCAGCCTTTCATTGCATCTTCTAAATGTGGTTGAGGAAATTTAAAACCTGAGAAGAGGGATCTTTTCCCTGTCTCCTGAGTTCTTTCTGTTTCTTGCATTTAGCAACTCTGAAGTTTTTTATTTTTACTGGTGCCTGACTCTCTTCCTGTTGATATTTGCTGAGTGCAGTGAAATGGAGACTGTGGCAAGAGCAAACCTCATTGCTGCTCTTCTCAGAAGGCAACTACCTAAAAGAGGATGTAAACAGAGTTTCATAAGGAAGGAAAAAAAAAGCCAGCATGTTTAGCTAGAAGAGATTGACCCATGATAACCTTGAGAATAAGAACTAAAGTCATTTTAGGAAATGAACGAGTCTCTTAGGTCCAGCATCCCCTTTCCTTTCAAGGTGGAGTTTAATCCCCAAGTCCTGATTTTTCCTATTGATTCCTCAGTCATCCTTGTCTCCAGAAACACATTTCTTGGATTGCATTTCAATATTTCAGTCATCTTTCCAGGTGGCTGAACTCCTCAGCAAAACCACAGGAATATTTGGGCAAGCCTGTAGGTCCCAGGGGGTGGAACTTGGGCTTAGTGTCTTCATGCAGAGTAGCTAAATACCATTCCCAGGATGTAGCTCCCTTGGCTTGTGTCTGGTCTTGACTGAGCTGCAGCAGCATTGCTCGGTTTCTCTCATTTCCTTCTTAGATATTTCCTTTGGTTCATGCAGGCTGACTGTTTTTGCAACCAGCTGGAGAAATACCCTTACAGTGATTCATGACTGTAACTCCCCGCGGCTTTCTCTCTCCATCTGTCACTTGTCTTTCTCTGGGCAGAGCCTTCCAGAGGAGCTCCCTCAGCACACGCCAGCCCCACTGCTCCTCCTAAACACTTGTGCACCCAGAGAAAAGACCTCATGTACCCACTGGATCAGCCCAACCTGCTCGAAGCCAGGCTTTCCAAAGGGGCCTCACAGATGCAGAGACTCTCTGCAGCACGGGCTTGCTGGCCACGTTAGCTCACTGTTGCTAGAAGTAGTTCATGGATGTTTTGGAAGCAGGAGTATCAGTCTAATGCTAAGACATTAACAACTTCAGTGGCGTGTGGCGGGGAGCTAATTGCCATTCGGCTGCATAAAGATGCAGTGATTTTGTCTTTAATGAAGGCAGCTCTCAAGCTTTGATGTCAATGTGCCGCTGTCTGGTGAGTGCAGGAGGTGACGGAGGCAGGTCCTTTCGCTAGAGCAGCTTTGTAAAACACGATCCCTACAGTACGCCAGGCCTTTGGAGTGAGCAGACGTTTAAACAAAAATACCCGGCAGCGTAATCCATCCTGGGAAGCTGCTGTAGTGCCTGAGCAGGTGGGATCAGCTTTCGAGAAAGGCCATGCTGTTCACTGTTACTTTGTTGTGCTAAATATGGAGAAGCAGAAATGGGGCACAAGGGAGAGGGAGACAGAGGCAAAGATCGAGTTTGACTGATTTTTCACTGGAGTATAATTTAAGAGGCATATTTAGAAATTCAGCAATACTACTTCGGGGAGAACTTCAACTGCTCCACACTGCTGTTAACTTGGTATTTCATTCAGTGCAACAGATGTGCACCAGATGCTGCACACTGCAAAAATTATATAATTTTCATCTCAACCACTTGCTTTCAGAGCAACACAGCCTTGGCGACTTAGGCAAGTGTAATTTTTCCGACAGCCTCCTAGAAAGAAATGAAACGCGTCTGTTTTTTATTGGAGTGGCTATGGGTGCAGGATTGCGGGGGGTGGCAGGGGAGAAGGAGCATGAAGGGAGCTCTTCTTGATGTACAAGGCTGGGCAAGAGGCAGAGGATAAACCCCTCAGAAAATGGCCCTGTTGCCGTGCAGTATTGTGCACTGCCTGGAGTTGTGGCTGACTTTAGTCTGGCCGAGTCGTGATGGAAATGACAGCCTTGTTTTAGCAGAGCTGTGCTTAATGTGAGCAAAAGCTCCGATTAATCTTACACCTACATGGAAAGAGTCAGCCAAGAACTCTAGTTGGGTCACTAAGCATTTGTGCATCCTGATTTCAGCCTGTCTTTCTGGGGAATGTCTGCACTGTGCTGGCGCATGGTGTGATATAGCCCCAAGCTGGTGGGTCCACAGTGTGGCGTCATCCCATGAGAGCAGGGTCATAGAAATTTTGTGTTACTACAGAGCTTCATGGTAGCGAGTAAGCTGAGGTCAAGAAGCAAAGGTAACTGTAGATAAGATCACTGCACTAGGCCTCATGTTGTGTTTACATGTGCTCTGCAATCCTCTACTTTCTCACCTCAAGATCCAGTGCATAGTGACGAAGTGGCCTGTAACCTTATCCTTATGCCAGAGTTGATGTAGATCCAAACCTTTGGAAATGAAGTCGCTTAAAACATGTCTGTGCTAGAGAAGCTGCACAGGGAGTTCACTGTTCCCAAATGGAGTTAGTTGCAGCTTTACATGAGTCCACCTTCAGGAACTCCAACCAGGGTTGGAGTTTTTCCTTCCTCTAACTACAGCTGTTCCCAGGAAAGTATAAGTCATGTGTCCCAATGTGTCCCTATCTCTCCTGGCCACTGATCACACTCTGAATGTGTGGAATGGGGAGCTGAGGAAAAACATGAAATAAGCATTTGAGAATCCCTTACCCTTGAACTGTCTCTCCAGCCTCTGCCCAATTCCTTTGCATACCTTTGCACTAGACCCACCATTCAATTTCCAGAAATGTGAAGGGAACACAAGCCCTGCATACACCACACACAAATATTTGGCTATGCACGTGTGCTCGTGAACTGTCATGGTAGCTCTGCCACTGATTTATCCCATCTGTGGCTCAGCTTTTATAGCTCTAAATTGAATGGCATTGCAAAAGTACCTAGAAGTTTCAGAACAGAAGCCCACTGGTGTGGACAGCACTCCGGTATTTATTTGTGCCAGCCTTATTTCATCCCATTCCTGATTCAATTCCACAAGTGAACCCTTGTCTTCCAGCAGGAGGAATTGTCGCACTGAAATCATCAGGATCCTGTAGGGGAGTGTCAACAGGGCTTCCAGTCCAGACCTAAGGGAAGAGAGTCTTATTACACAGAACTTAGAGTAGAAAAAGGTCACAAGACAGAGAGATACTTTTTTCATGAGGAACCCACGGCCAGATTTTCCAAAGCATTCATCAGTCCCAGCAAATAGGTTTTCAGGAGTGCCTTTATCTGGGGCTGAAAATCCAGTTCCAGCCTTTCTGAGAGTTATGGCCATGCCAGTGGCAAAGGGAACCAGAGGCATAGTGATTAGTGCAAGGTAGCTCACAACAACACAGGGATTAAATGCTGGAGGTTAAAGTTGAAGGCACCCTGCCATTATTGAGGCGCTGTAGCTCATGAAGATGTTATGACGCCCCGGGTATTTATGGCACTTCAGCCAGTTGTCATTTTTGGTGCCTGACTAGTCTAAAAAACAAGGAAAAGAAACATACGGAATGAAAAATAGATTCAGCATCTGTGTAACGCAGTGCACAAGCAGCTAGCCACAAACATCTTAACTTACCTCAAATTGACGTCTGTTACATCTACTGTAGCATGTCAACATGGTCTATGAATAACCCCAGCTATTATTGCAAAATATGTCTGACACCTGAGATTCCAGAGCATCAGGATGATTTACCACAAGAGGATTCAG